ATTTTAAAAAGCTAGGGGGAAAGAGCAAATTATACTTTAGCAAGCAGAAGCTAATTATAAAGATGAGTAGATATTATGAAATAGAAAGCAAGCAAACACTAGCAAAAACCCAGAGTCAAGTTGTTTCCTTGAAAAGATTAAAAAACCGTATAAATACCCACACAGATTGATAATGAAATGAGAGGGAGCCGGGCTCGGTGGCTCAGCCTGTAATCCCGCACCTTTGGGAGGCTGAGGTGAGTGGATTGCCTGAGCCGGCGGGTTCGAGACCCACCTGGGCAGCGAGACCTCATCTCTACAATAAATCAAAAAATCAGCCGGGCATGGTAGCACATGCCTGTAATTCCGGCTACTTGGAAGGCTGAGGTGGAAGGATCGCCGGAGCCCAGCAGGTCGAGGCTGTGGTGGCTGGGAGCGGCCACTGCACTCCAGTCTGAGCGACAGAGTGAGAATCCAACTCAAAAAAAAAAAAAGAAATGAGAGGGAAAAGACAGTAAATAATTTACCAACACCAGGAGTAAGAGAGGAAGCATCACCACAGGTGCCACAAATACTAGCAGATAATAATGCATAATTTTATGACCACTTAGATGAAATGGGCAAATTACTTGAAAAGCACAACATAATAAAATTGACTCAAGAGTAAGTAGAAAATCTGAAATTATGTAGTCATGCTCTTCATACAGTAACTTATCTCTATGGCTCAGGGTTTCACATAATTTCTCCAGAAACTGCAGGTCTTATGACACAAGGCTGCCTAGCTTCCTGCCCCTCTTCTGGGGGCTCTAGTAAAGAAATGTTGTTATTGACTGAGCAAAAAACAAAAAAAGACATCCTCCATTACTACTGCCTATATTCTTATTTGTTTATTAGAATAGATTCCCCCAGATGCAATTACTTCTTCAAAGAATTTGACTCAAACAAAATCATGAATTTCGCAGCAACCTGGATGGAACTAGAGTCTATAATACTGAGTGACCTCTCACAGAAACAAAGATCAGAGTATTACATGTTCTCACTCATATAGTGGACCTTGATCATTCAACGTAATACCATAAGAAAATGACTGACAGTGGTGGGAAACTATGGGGGGGGGAAGGGAGATGGGATTAATGGTAGTAAATATCTGTCTGGGGACGGGAGACACCTCTAATCAACAAGGGTGCCTGAATGAAGCATATTTGTATACCTAACCCTTAACTGTACCCCACAATATCATAATAAAAAATATTGATTATTAAAAAAAAGAATTTGACTCTTCTAAATCTCTTGAAAGCAGAGTACCAAATTACTTTTCAAAAAATGTATACTAGCAATGCAGGGAAGAACAGTACCATGCCCTCCTAAGTACTGACTTTTTTCATTACTGCCTGCCATAAGAATCATTTAAATATTATTCTTGGCCAGACTTGTTGGCTTAGCCTATAATCTCAGCATTTGGGGAGGCCAAGGCAATTATATTGCCTGTACCCGCAAGTTTGAGACCAGCCCAGGCAATTTGGCAAGACCTCGTCTCTACAATAAATTAAACATCAGCCGGGTATGGTAGCACTTGTAGTTCTGGCTACTTGGAAGACTGAGGCAGAAGGATCACCAGAGCCCAGCAGGTCGACGCTGGGGTGGCCATGAGTGTGCCACTGTGCTCCAGTCTGGGTGACGGAGTGAGACTCCAACAAGAAAAAAAATATTATTATTTTATTTACATTATTTTTCTATTTCTAGTAACCATGACAAGGTCACATGCTACTTATTTATTCTATTTTCTTTGGTTATAACATTTAGATAGAGTAGATTCAACTTGTGTGATAGGAAGAAGCAGGGACCCAGGGATCTAGGAGTCAGGAATCATACTGCAATAGCTTTCTAGATGGTTTCCCACTTCCATGTTTGACTCCCTCCAATCCACTCTCCACAACCAGAATGATCATTTAAAAACTTTAATCAGATCATGTTTCTCTCTTGCTTAAAACCATCCAAGTTTCCCATTGCTTTAAAAATAAGATTCAGGCCAAGAGACACATGAAAAAATGCTCAGCCTCACTAATCATCATAGAAATGCAAATTAAAACCACACTGAGATACCAGCTAACTCCAGTCAGGATGGCCATCATCAATAACTCAAAACACAACAGATGCTGGAGAGGATGCCGGGAAAAGGGAACATTTCTACACTGTTGGTGGGAGTGTAAACTAGTACAACCTCTGTGGAAAACAGTGTAGTGATTACTAAAAGATCCAAAAATCAACCTTCCATATAATCCTACAACCCCCCTTCTGGGAATATACCCAGAGTAACTCAAATCATTCTATGAGAAAGATACCTACACATGCATATTTATTGTGGCATTGTTCACAATAGCAAAAACATGGAACCAATTGTGCTGCCCATCAAAAGTGGATTGAACAAAAAATGTGGTCTGTATACACGATGGAATGTTACACAGCCATAAAGAAGGACAAAATTATGAACTCTGCAGGAACTTGAATGGATTTAGAGTCTATAATACTCATGATCTATCACAGAAACAAAGAACAGAGTACCACATGTTCTTACTCATAAGCAGACCCTGAACAATTAACCATAATACTACAAGAAAGGAATTGGCAGTAGTGGGAAACTGCCAGGGGAGGGACGGGAGGGGGACACACTTCGTCAGTAAGGGTACCTGATTTCTTTTGTTTTGTTTTTTTTTTTTTGAGTCGGAGTCTCACTCTGTCGCCCAGACTGGAGTGCAGTGGCCGCTTCCAGCCACCGCAGCCTCAACCTGCTGGGCTCCGGCGAACCTTCCGTCTCAGCCTTCCAAGTAGCTGGAACTACAGGCACGCGCTACCACGCCCGGCTGATTTTTTGATTTATTGTAGAGATGAGGTCTTGCTGCCCAGGTGGGTCTCGAACCTGTGGGCTCAGGCAATCCACTCACCTCAGCCTCCCAAAGGCGCGGGATTACAGGCTGAGCCACCGAGCCCAGCTGGGTACCCGATTTCAAACCAGTAAAGTGAGGCTCAAACTTTACCTGTACAATGACCATTTGTATTCTTAACCCTGAATTGTACCCAACATCTTTAAAATAAAATTTAAAAAAAAAAGGAAAAAAAGTGAAATAAAATTCAGATTCTACCATGATGGACAAGGCTCTGCTGTTCAACCTTGTTCACTACCCTGCAGTCACACTGGCCTTCTCACATTGTTCCACATCAGAATTTTTGTCTTTGCTGTTACCTTTGCCTGGAATGCTATTTTTTCAGATATTCACACACTGGGCTCCCTCTTGTCCTTCAGGGTTTAGCTCACTGACAGGCCTTCTGGCCTCCCATTCCTCATCACATTCATGTGTTTTACTTTCCTCATAACACCCATCACAGTTTAAAATTATCCTGATCACTGGTTGTGTCAACCTTATATAATGAGATTCAGGCATTATGATTTACTATAGAGTTTGAGGGCAAGGCTTAAGGATAGCCACCAGGAAAATGCAGACTTCAAATAAAGGGAATCAGTGTTCCAAAGTGGGGAAGTTAAAGTTTCATTGACATAGGCAGAGATGGAGATGTTTAAGCAGGATTTCAATATTTTCCATGCAAGACCAGTGCATAAGTGGCAGTGATTTGATTGGTCACAGATTCCTAGTTCCAAGGAAGATTACTTTATTACTCTCTGAGGAGGGACAGTGGTCTGAGAAGGCCTTATCTCTGGGGCTATTTGGTCTTCCTAATTATTTACAGAAAAATAAAGGCAGAAGTTGCAGGTGCATACCACATGACCCAGGCCCCACAGCCACATTCTTCTCAAGGCTCAGAATAATTTAAAGTTCCAATAGCTTTAAGTTTGAATTATTTAATTTCACAGTTGGTTCACTTGTTCTTTTCCTGTCTCCCACGCTAGAGAGTAAGCTCCGAGGGATGCAACCTTGGCAGGCTCCTACATTGCCAGGGGTCCAACTTCCCCGTAGATTCGACATTCATTACGAGTTGAATGAATGAAGATCTATGCAGGACCCAGTGCGCCTGATCCTTAATGAGGGGGCTAACTAGACGGATGTCAGCGGGAGGATGCAGAACCATCTCTTAATGAAGCCAGCACATTCTAGCTCGAGGATTTCTAGAAACCTCGAGGGAGGAAGTCTTTACTGGAGAATGAGAGAGCCGTGCGAAGAAGAGGCGATGAGGATGATCTGTGAGTGAAGTCTTTGAATGCGCCTAGCAGGCTGCCTTAAGGGAGAGACGGGCACAAGGCCATTATTAGGGAGGGTTTCTGGGTTTTTCCCTTTTTTGAGATGGGGACCTGATTTGAAGCAATGGGAAGGAAACTGAAAAGACAAAGAGCCAAAGACCGGCATGTCCCAGAGTTCTCGGGCGAGCACCCAGTAGATACGCAAGCCGGGCCAGCGCCCGGGAGTCAAGCAAGCCGGTTCGGGTCCCCAGCCTCGGCGGCCCGGGCGTCCGCGGTGCTACCTGTCTGTCACCGCCTCCCGCCGCCACCTTCCGCCACACATGACCGAGACTCGGGAGGCAAGAAAACGGCTTTAAAAATACTAAATACGAAGCTCTTGCCCCCTCTCCAATCTGGATCCCCCTTTTCTCTCTCTCTCTCTCATCTACTTTCTAAATAAACCATATTTTCCAATTTTAAAAAAATTCTAAACTCAACTGACATCATTCCCTGAGCTAAAAAACACCAACAAATAATAATAAACTCTAAAAAGTGCCGAAATGTACAGAGAAGAAAATCCCGTGGCTACAATCCTCCAAGTTTCCACCCCCGCCCTGAGAACGTTTCCTACCCCCCTCCCGCTCCTCCCCTGCTCCCCCATCCACCCCCGCCCGGGACCTCCCAGCCTGGGAACCAGCAGCAGCGCGGGGCGGGGCGGGGCGGGGCGGGGCCGGCCTCGGGGCGCGGCGGAGCAGCGGGTCGGGCCCGGGCGCGCTCGCTGATGACGCCAGGCCGGAACTGCGCAGGCGCGGCGCGGGCTCGCGGGAGCCGTCGCGCGCCGGGCAGTTCGCGCGGGAGCCGGGCTCTGGGGCGCCGCAGCCGCAGGTTGGTGGAAACGGAAGTCGCGGCGGGGTACGGAGGACGCCAGGATGGCGACTCCGAACAGGAAGACGTCGACCCCAGGTCCCATGGCTTCCAAGAGAGCGCTCCCTAGAGACCCTTCGTCGGAGGTCCCGAGCAAGAGGAAGAGTTTGGCCCTGGCGCCGCCGCCGCCGTCCAGGCCTTTCGTGGAAGGCTCTATCGTCCGCATCTTGATGGAGAACTTCCTGTGAGTGGCCGAGGCCGCGCCGCGGCGGGGGAGGCAAGCGGTCCCGCAGGCCCCGGCGTCCGCGGAGGCAGGGGTGTGTGGGTGTGTGCCTGGCCTGGGGGTCGGGCTGGGAATTCGTGCCGAGGTTCCCGTGAGTGTTTTCCTCCGTAGGCCGTGGGGATGGATGGACGTGTGGTGCTGTACAAGTGTGATGTGGTTTTTAATTCATTCCGCCAACGTCCTGTGGCAGGCAGTCGACGTACGAGGGACTAGGTCTCTGCCGGCTGCTAGTCTCGGTCTGTAGGAGACCTGGGCAGCAACTGGCGAAAGTACCGATCCCGGGGACTCACAGGCGGCAACAGTTAATTCGGAGTGGCGGTGATGCTGTGGCAGATTCTTAAAGAGTAGGTATTTGCCAGGTGGACAGAGAGGACCAGATAAGGTGGTAAAGGTGGTTCCGGATGGAATTCGAATGTACAAAAAAATAAAACCTGATTCTCAATTGTTGAACCTCCTACAAACCCTTGTCCCCTCCAAATCCAGCTTCCCTGGTTCTTCTTTCTCCCCTTCAGACAACTAGTTATTATTTTAGAATTTAGTAAGTATGTTTTAACAGAAATTTGTGCCTGGCGCCTTACAGTTTAAGGTTGTTGTTTTTTTTTCCTTTTTAAGCTTGCACATAGTGGCATGAGAGTAGCGATTGTAATAGCAATACTATCCTTTTTTCCCCCAAGCACCTATTATGTGCCAGGTACAGAACTCGGTATTTTTTCACAGTGCTCTCATTCATTCTTTGTAACAACCCAATTTTGATAATCACTGTTGATGAAACAAGCTCAGATAGGTTATTTTGCTCAGGTTTACACAGCTAATAAGTAGCTGAATTGCTATTTGAATCCAGACTAGAAAAGATAAATGTAATCAGTTAGATATCATGATAACATACATATCAGAATATCATTTTGTTCACAACTTTGAGAAAGGGCTTTGTAGAGAAGATATGAAAGTTTTAAAAGAAGAGTATTGCAGTCAGAAGGAACTGCCTGAAAGAAAGTTTGGAATGTTTAGCAAGTGTCACGTTTTTCAGTATGGCTGTGAAGTGTCAAGTATTTCAGCATAGGATGTGAAAACTGGGACAGAGGCAGGCAACCACTGAAGAGTCTGTAGGTTTGCTATGCTAAGGAGTCCAACTTCAGCCTGTAGGCGACTACCATGTGTTTCAAATAGGGGATGACTGATTTATGTTCATCTGGAAGCAGCATCTAGGATGATTTTCAGAGCGTGCAAGATTGGAGGCAAGAAGGCTTTTACAATATGAAGGCAAAAGATTATCCGAGTTTGAATTAGTAGGAGCCTAAAGGAAAGAAATTTGACAAGATCTGGCTACAGATTAATTGTGAAATATGAGGGAAAGGGAGGAATGCAGTATTTTCCCCAACCTCTGCCTTGGCTTAACTATCAGGTGCTGTACAGAAAAGGGGGTTGTTTGGGGGAGAATAATAATAAACGCCTCAGATCCTATGACTTGAAGTCACATGACATTTAAGAGAGATGCTCTAGAGTTATAAGGTTCTGGAGCTTAGAGAAAAATGTGAACAAGTGAGAGATTTGGGAATCATGCATATAGGTGATTGATGAGGTTGCCCAAAAGGAATTATAAACTGAAAGACTAGAAGGCATGTACAAAGTCTTGGGGGAATGCCAACATTTAAGGGTGAACAGAAGAACTCACAGACTGAGAAGGAAGGTAAGATGAAAACTGTGGGAAACTATTCTCAAAGAAGCCAAAGAAAAAATGTTGCAAAAATATCATCTGCTTCACTGAAGTCAAATAACAGAACTGAAAAGATCCCAGTGCATTTTAGCCATTAGGAAATCTTTGACCCTCTGATGAAGCAGTGGAAGCAGAAAACTATGCAGGCTGTAGAAGAATGAATGAGGAGTGAGGACATAAAGCTTGGATGTAAAGAGGAGAAAGAAAAGGTGGCTGGAAAGTGCAGAGGTAGGTGAGATTTTGTTTATTTTAATGATGAGAAGACTTTGAGTTTTGGGAGTAAATTATGGAGAGAGAATTATGGAGGAGGAGTAGGCTTAGAGGACATAAGTGGCCTGAAAGAGAGTAGTCAGGGAAGAGTTCCTATGAGTGAACCAAATTGAATGAAGTTGGGAGTGGAGGGAGAGATTTCTACACTGAAGGAATAACACATGCAAAGATTGGAGGAGAAGGAAGCCCAATGTAGTCAAAAGCAGGAAAGAAGTGCATTAAAGGTAGAATTTAGAGGTCTCAATAGAGAATAGAGAAAGAAGACAAAAAGTAGAAAAAGGTGATGGTTCCTTTTTTTTCTTTTCTTTTTTAGCAAGTGATGTCAGAAATTCTACCAACTTGACTTTGTGATTGATGGGCTGGTGGTTTGGGTAGAGTCAAAAGAGATAGAAGAATCAAAGGTGATGCAAAACTAATGCCTAGGTTTCTGACTTGGTCAGTGGGATGGACAGTGATACCACCATTCACTAAGAAATCACAGCATAGTTTTGGATGGAAAAGATAATGGGTTTAGTTTTGAATGTGTTAAGTTTAAGGTGACTGTTATGGAACTTTCAAATAATATTATTGAGGTGGTAATTGCCTATAAAGATTATCTGGGGTGACTTTCAACACGTAGATGCTATCTGAGGCCATGGAGATATTCCATAAGATACATAGAAGAATCAGAAGACCAATTTTAAAACAATGCAGTGGCTTTATTTTGTTTTTGGTAACTCTTCCTATTTATAATGTCGCTCTATATAATATCTGTTATAATATTTATAGACCAGAAAGTCTTATGCTTTTCCCTGTTATTTTTATTTTTAAATGCCAGTTGCATCACTATTTTATTATGACATTTGCCTGGAGATTTCACAACAGAAATCCAAGTGTTAAAAGAAATGGGGCTTCAGATGTTGAGTTTTAAGAAGACTCACATCAGGTAATTTCCCAGGTGTCTGAAGTTCCCAAACTAGTTTTATCTGAACCATTATATATATATATATAATATATATATATTTTTTTTTTTTTTTTTTTTTTTTTTT